GGTGTTAGACGTAGCAACCATTTTGAAGCTAGTGGATAGAGGATAAAATAGAAAAAGAGGCTAAGAGAAAGGATAAAAGAAATAGAGTTGAGAGGAGGGATTTATCTCTGCAAATATGTATTTAGCCTCTCTTCATCTTCTCTCAACATTTTCCAATGTCCAAATAAGTGATTGTCTTGCCTAATCTAGAAATAAAGTCTTTAATCTCAATTCCATGTGGTTGTCATGAAGTTAAAAGTCAACAGATGCAGAACTTTTACCTATCTGGTTATGGTAATCCAAATATTAGATGAGCCACCACAACCTTTAGTTTTGCCTTGGCAGCAAACATGTGCTAGTAATGTAACACACTGAAAACTGGCTAACACAACACATAATTGGAGAAGAACATGCTTATAACAGGCATCAATATCTATGATCGACAAATCATCAGTCATAGAATAGTTGAATTTGAACGGAAATAATTTATTGTGTGGGAAAGCCAAACTGAAACATCATCTGAAGATTCTGAACCGTAAGAGATGAAAAACTAGCGGTTGAGCAGAATCAACCTATATGATGTTTTATGCAGGGTATCAAATATTAGAATAAACTATATTTAAAACCTCTTGGCTAGCACAAGGGAAGTAAATGTGTCTTACAAGCTCTGTATGCCTCAAGTTTGCCAAAAGTCCCAAAGTTCTTATGAGAATAGCATGGAAGAATGTAGTGAAGCTACCACTACAATTGCAACAACGTTAAACTTAGATGATGGTGCAATATATTTCATAATCAGATCATGCATAACAATACAAAGTTCAACTACAAGGGAACTGGTAAACTTGGAATTTGTTTGAAATGAGCTAGCTTTCTGATGAGATAATGTTCTCACACAGCATAAGAGCTAAAACCCATACACAAGAGAGATGCTCTCCCAATTTTAGGGAATAAACGATATGGACAACCATAATTGGAACTTTTTTTATTATTCTTCTATCACGTCTTTCTCCATTGCTCATCTCTTCATCTAATAAAAATGTAAATTGATTAAGTTACAAGATGGACAAGGAAATGTTAAATTAAAGTAGATAATTAAAAAATAAACTAAAGTTTACAGAAACAGGATAAGATTCGGAATCAGCCATGGAATTTGTACTCGAAATCATACATCTGGCTGGACTGGGGAGATGCAGATATTTTAGATATGACCAAGATCACCCAGACAGCCATAAATATTGAGAAGGATCAGTTCAGGACCAGCTGGGACTGTGTAGAACTCCAGTGGAACCAATCAGAACCAGTTAGTGCTAAAACTGGTTGCATCCATCCTAAATCAATTAAAACCAATCAAATTGACTGCAGATGAGCTAGGTGCCACCAAAATTGAAGAATGATCATGCTGAGAGAGCATCTAGTTATGCATGGTTAGCTAGAAGGAAGAAGGAATTTTGTCAATATTTTCCTCGATTCTTGCACATTTTATGGTTCAAAAGCTAGCCTTGAATATAGTCCGATAGAGGTAGTTGTCCAAAAATATATGCTTAACATAAAGAAGCAAAAGAAATGGTTACACTAGGAGATATTACCAAATGACTAGAGATAATAAAGTGAGTTGGGACATCATGGGTTGTAATTGTTGTATTAAAGATAATAAAGTATAAGGAGCACATAGAAAAATAATTCAATTTGGATGTTTTTACCAAAGTCCTTCAGGTCCATTTCATTCACACTGGGGTAGGAAAAGAAAATATATTAACTTTTACTTGGACAATTACTTAGATCAAGTTCTCAGATATGACCAGAACCCAACAGCACATGAATCTAGTAAGGCTCTAACATGAGAACCATGGAAATATCAGTTTGGGCTGGTAGATCACAAATCCATTGATTTCAACCATATACAACTATTATTGGACAACATCAATGACCTGGTTGTTATGTTGTCCTTGCCTTTGTAGTAAAACATATGATTAGATGTTTGTATTTTGATGAAAAAGGAAATTGGGGATGTTGGATCCATCCCTCATGAGTTAGCACTCCAGCCAATATCTGGAAGGGAAGTTTTTATAAACTTTGTGTACCAACACCTAGCAAACTTCTAGCTTGTTGTTTCCAGAAACTCCCTCTTTCAAGACAAGCATGTTTCCATTAGACTTGAGGAAAACCATTATTGTCACAACAGAGCTTTTTTATGTGATTGTTGTTTGCTTAGAAGGGTTAAGAAAGGCACCCGGAACAAAAATAACATATACTAAGTAATCATAGAAGTAAGCTTATAAGCCTTCTGTGTTTCAACAAGATACTTCTAAGGTTGGATTAGTTAACCAGTCAAGCTTACAAGAGAAGAAATTATTGCAATAAATATATTTTGCTTAGTAAATAAATAAAGAATTTAAGCAAAGAATTCCAAGTTTCTCATTTGTTTCTTGAAGTTAACTATATTTTGAGCTAAAAGTTTTCTGGCTTTTTATCATTTAGCTAAAGATTTCCTCCCTTATATATAAACCATGTGTATCTTGATGATTCATTTGCTTTTATGCCCTGATAAATAACATGGTTTTTCATAGTACTGAAAGAAAAAGATAGTGCAGCAGGAATTCAAAGGCCCAAGTGATCACAATAAAAATCAACAAGAAAGGTTGACTCTTTTGAGTATGTAGCTACAAGAAAGCATAATCTCAGAAAGTACATGCTCTCGTTATCCTGCCCCTGCTGGGGACAAAAACAAGTAGTGATGCAATCATATGCTCTCAGACAAGATAGGAGACTTGTGTTCAGAGTAGAAGAAAATTTTCTATTTCAATGGTTCTTGAATGTTAACAGTTTCCAAGACAAACTCAGCATTACATTGTCAGAATCCGGACTAGTGTTTCTTAATGCACTACAAGAACACACATACCTAATCGAGTCACAGATATCTCAGAAAAATAAATCGTTTGCTAACTACAACATTGGTTTATAATTTCCCGTTGCTTGTATATACAAATATGAGTCAATAAAACGAATCATATAATTCTGAATTGCAAGTAGTAAATTTACAATTTTTTCCCCCAACTGCTCAATTATAAGAACGACAAACTTAAAAGCACCAGAAGACAAACACAACTAGTACCTCCCAGTTCACCAACTGACAGCGTTATCCTCATGAGAATAGGATGATCTTCCTGACCGATGAATCTTAAGAATTGATCCAGCAGCTACTTCAGTTCAAGCGGCACAAACATGGAAACCAATCAGTCCACCCAAGAATTCTCTTCTATTGGGTGACTCGAGTAAATAAGCTAGAGAAATTATGGAGCACAACAACATTCGATCGACAGCCCACTTTAAGTTGATCTCCAAATTCCAACAGACCACAAGCTCGAGCAAAAATCTAAAGTCACCACAACAAAGATCCCATTTTTCCAGACCTCAAGAGGCAGTAAAACCCCGCAGGTGTTTCAGAAGCCCAGAGAAATCTCGAAAGCATATAACCAAAAGAAAACTGCAAGGAAGAAAGAAAAACATGAAACAGAGTTAGAGAGAAGTAGCACCTCTTCCGACCACTCCACCCACAGTCGAAGAAAGGAGCGTTCTCCAATCCTATCGACAAGAAAAGCAAGGACAAGAAAAAAAAAAAAGGTTTTTAGTCCTCATTACCAAGATGAAGAGAAGAAACAGTATTTTAGAGACAGTGTGGAAACAGGAAGACAAAAAGGCACTGAGTGTGCTACAGCCCAGCAGCGAGGAGAGAGAGAGAGAGAGAGAGAGAGAGAGAGAGAGAAGCAGAATCCAAAGAGGGTTTTGGGTTTCATTTGCTCGAGCAAAATTACACATATATCCAAGCAGACAAAAAAACTGACAAACTCAGCGCCCCACTGACAGAATCTATTTGTACGCCACGCTCTCCATTACATCTTCACAAAACTTGAACAACCTGATTCGATCCTTCTCTCTTTGAAGGAGTAAGAGACTTATCCGCAACACATTATTTTCCTTCTCAACTAGTTTTACCCCCCAAGTTGGATAAGAACGGAATTGGCTGTAATCGTTTTGCTTATCAAAGATTAGTTTTTTTCTTATTGCAAGAGAAAATATATGCTTCGACTGTCATAACAACTGAATGTGATAAGATATTCCTTATTTTTTACCACAACGATCCAATATTAAGAATAAGTGATGAAGATCAATTTTGATCCTAAAATCTTAGGATGGTATGTTCTGAATCCTCGTTCACGAGATGCTTCTCCTTCTGACATTATGTGGCACATGCAAAAACAAACAAACAAAAAACAATGTTACTATTACAATAATGTGAGAGAAAACATCATTCAAAAACATTGCTTTGAGCTAATGTGTGAGCAATTATGAGAGAGAAAGAATACATGAGAGAGAGAGAGCAATAGTGTTACATAATAATAAGAGAGAGAATCCATCATTCAAGAAGATTGCCTTCAACTATGTGTTCACGGGTAAGCTGGAACGAGAGATACAGCACAATAAGGAGAGAGAATAATCATTCAGGACTATGTATTCACTTGTAAGCTGCGGTAAAAAAAGGAGCTAATTGTATGATTAGTTAATTTTAATATCTCGATATTTATAATTACGAAAATAAAATATTTAATCTCATTATTTCAATAAAAATATTTTTTTAATTTTTAATCTTATAAAATTATCTTTTTAGTCATGAGAATATTAATGTTTCACTTTCGTAGTAAAAATATGTGATTTATATTCTTGTTATTACAAAATAGATTTACGATTATTCTATTACCTTTTAACTTTTTTATTTTTTTATATTAAATATTTGATGAATTGTGTGACATCAAGATCTGTTCGACACTTATTTTTTAAAGTTAATTAACTTTCTTTATAAGTCAAAAAAAATTCTATAATGAAGAAACTTTTTCAAACAATATTTTAGCAACTGACTGGAATCCATATTATATTTTTTTCAAAAATAAAAAATCGAAGTAGTGATTATATTTGATAAAAAAAGGCAATGGGGTCGATGTGCCGAAGAACTGAAAATGATAGTCTGAGAATAGACCGTAAATAATCCCAATAAGAGCGTACATTGATGAGTCAGTATCAAGACGACAAACAGAAACAAAGAAGAAAATGACATTTGAGAGAGCTAATGAAAGGTGCAGAGACGATTCTAAAGAAGTTTCCCAAGTGAATATTTGACTTCTACCATTCACATCAAAACAAGAAGCTCACTGTCTAAATGTCATGACTGATCTCTTTAATGAGTGCATCTGATGATTGCATGAACTGTGGGCTCGACAAGGTCGCAACGCAGCAATAGAAGCTGGTCCCAGGTCAGGAAAGTCGAGTGAAAAATACATTGGATTGGACCCAGCCTTTGTTCTGGTGCTGATCTCAATAATGTGGAGAGTGTCCTGATGATGTGACCTTGAAGTTCTGAAAGGATTCCAGCAACTGATTGCCTTCCTGTTTTACCTGTGAAGAGCCAAAGATGTCAAATTAGAAAGATTTAGAACTGGTACTTACTAATATGTAGTTTCATATAATCATTGAAACCGATGTCGGATCGAGGTTCAAAATATTGTCCAGAGTGTTCAAGTAAAATTGTCAAAACTGTTGCAGTTCATCAAGCTTTACCATCGATGTTTTAGGCACTCCAAAGTACCATAACAAAGTAAACAACTAGTCTAGCAAAAAAATCAATATGATAGGATCTTCAAAACCTTGTCTACAAGTACAAAAAATATGAGAGCTGTTGCAGTCCATCAAGATTTGCTACGGTAACAGTACATACCAGATGTTTTAATCACTCCAAAATGACATAGCATTGCAAATAACTAGTCTTCCAAAAATTATCGAGAAATCGGTATCAGGTTGATGTTTAAAATCCTGTTGAATATTTCAAGACAATGGTTGTCGTAGTTCATCAAACTTTGCCATGATATAATCACATTCAAGATGTCCTAGGCACCCCAAAATGTCAAACTAACATCTTAAGAACCCGACATCGAACCAACATTTAAATACTCGTTCAAGAGTTCAAGAAATATAATAGCTGCTGTAATTCATCAAACTTTTCCATGGTATCAGCACATGCAAGATGTTTTAGGCACCCCAAAATGTCATAACAATGAAAATAACTAGTCTTCCAAAAATTGTAAGAAACCAATACCATGCTGATATTTAAAACCTCATCCAAGAATTCAAGAACTATGATATCTGTTGCAGCTCATCAAACTCTGCCATGGTATCAGTACATACCAAATGTTTTAGGCACTCCAAATTGCCATGATGATGTAAAATAACCGGTCTTCCAAGAAAATCTCGAAAAATTAGTATCAAATTGATATTTAGAACCTTGTCCAAAGCTCAAGAAAAATGATATCTGTTGCAGTTCATCGAGCTTTGCCATGGCATCATCACACACCCGATGTTTTAGGTACCCTAAAATACCATAACAATGCAAATAATCACTCTTCCAAAAAATCTCAAGAACACCCAAATTGAATAAGGCACAAATACTGCAACACCACAATTAGCTGGAACATCACGGCTTGTTGTGTTGTTGTTGTACAAAGACTTACATGTTCACGCCCATATCTAGGCAGGATTCACCCAAGTGAGTATGATCACTGCAGCCCCCTGGGCTTTTCACATCCTCATGGTTGGTCATCTGAAAAAACTTGAGTAACTTGATCTCTTGATCCAGTCTGGTCCCTGTCACCATAATGCAACTAAGCTCAGGTATCCATGCTGAACAGAGAAAGTCACAAGCAAACATGATCAGGTGAAGTACTGGTGGGTCGTCTTTACTGAATGAAATAAAAGCAACTAACGGAGAGGAGATGAAACATAGTAACCACTGCCTATATAAAGGATAAGCCATCATGTAAGTCAAATTTCTGTATCAGGATGTAACCATGTCTCCACTGCTAGTGGAGCTCCATCACATTATTTTTCTCTGTTAATTTCCTTGATCCCCTTTCTCCAACTTCACTGCTACAATTCTAGTTTTATACCCTTAAAGAATGGATCTGAACTTGGATAATAATAGGAAAAGGTTTGAGGGTCGCTTACAGGGTATAGTTGTTGTTGGGTCAGGTTAAGGAGGAACATGGACAGAATTGATGTTGGATTATGCTGCAGTTGATGGTAATGAGAGCTAGTGCAGGCCTCGCCTGATGGTTCACATGGCCTGGGAGAGGTTGGTGAAGATTGAGGTCAGCATATCATTAGAAGCAGTAATCATGTCCCTGTAAAACAAAATAATATCAGAGAAAAGTTGTTATCATCTGCTGGACAAAACTTACTCTTTATGATAAATAAAACATATTCCAAACCAATGGAGTTCTGTTGAACTCTTACCCACAATACAACAGATAAGATGCCTGATCCCTAGGAAAAAAAAGCCATTGATGTATATATAACATTTATTCATATCAAAGAGGACATGACCTAGAAATGGAACCATAAGGAAACTCTTCAAACACAAATATAAAATTATATCTGAAAGCTCCCTGAATATGCTTAAGAGAGAAAGACGAGAAAGACAAAAGGAAGCAAGTACCTTAAACTAGTTTTTATAATATGCATCAAGAAGGCAAGGTTACAAAAAATCAGAAATTTTAAGAAATACCCATGAACAACTTTAAATGAAGAAAGAAAATATTAAAAATATTTGACATTCAAATGAACAAGTCTGATCTTCGAAACAGTGTAAAACAAGAGTACGAAATTTGTCACTCGTACAAATACACACAAAATTTTGTTACAAGTCAAAGCCTAATCTCTGGAAAACATATAAACAGGACATAAATGTATTTTGTGTGATTATATACCCACATAAACATATATGCAAACATGGATTTCAATAAAAGGAAATCACAAGAGTTAAGAGCAACAAAGAAATTATTAATAACAATAAGAAAAAGCCCTTTGCTTCTGTGCAATAAACTGCATCAGTATACACTAGACAGCATGTTCTTTCTTTGATCAATTCCTGTACTGAAATAATGGCAAGCCAAACTCTGTCAAAAGAATCACTGGAAATGGAATGACTTTGAAAAGATTTAGAAAAATATATTTATAGTTCTTCATGAGCATAAATTAAAACAAGGTATAATTTGGTGGAGAGATCCTGAGATCAAGGATTCATGTTGCTCTAGTACTTTGCTATATATCCTCTCTCCCAAAGACATTGCTAGAAACATATCTAAATCAAGCAAAATGATGAGGCAACCAAATGAAGAATTATGGACAAGGACATTCTATTTGAAGGCTAATTAGAACCTAATCCATAAGCCACTTGGCACACTAGATCATCCACGAGGAAAAAAAAAATGGACAGCAATGATTAAAAAAAGATATTGACAGTAGAAGCAGAATCTTACAAACGACGACAAACTTCTTCCTAATATTGTCCTGACGGCCCTTAATACCAGGACATCATATCATTCCTTCATATTTAAACCATATCCACAATCTATACAGTCTTCCTTCATTCCCCTCAATTCCATATCATATAAATTGTAATAAGATTCTATGGCCCTTCATCACAATTGTTCATTCTACTGAATGTGACAAAACAAAACTTTTCCAAACTGATAAAGCTGTAGTATCAGCAACCATGATTTAAAATCAATAACAAGTGCAATACAGAATACAAATGCATGCCACCTTAGGACTAATACAAACAAGGAGATACATAAGAATGCACAATAACAGGACACAAGCAATCACTAGGAAGCAACAAAAAACATCTAATAGTCTTCTGGTTCATCTTCATCATCTGCACCCTCTGCTCCGACCTCCTCGTAGTCCTTTTCAAGAGCAGCCAAGTCCTCCCGAGCCTCTGAGAACTCACCTTCTTCCATCCCCTCACCAACATACCAATGGACGAATGCACGCTTTGCATACATCAGATCGAATTTATGGTCGATTCGTGAGAACACCTCAGCAACAGCAGTATTGTTGCTGATCATGCATACAGCACGCTGCACCTTGGCCAAATCACCACCAGGGACCACTGTAGGTGGCTGATAGTTGATTCCGCACTTGAAACCAGTAGGGCACCTTCAGAAAGTACCAATGTAGTCAATACCGACAGATAACTTTATTAAACCCTGCAAATTGTACTAGTTACCTGATAAGAAAGAAATTCCTACAGTAGAAGCTTACCAGTCAACAAATTGCACAGTTCTCTTTGTTTTGATGGTTGCAACAGCAGCATTCACATCCTTGGGAACAACATCCCCACGGTACATCAGACAACAAGCCATATATTTCCCATGCCTCGGGTCACATTTTGCCATCATGCTTGATGGCTCAAAAACGGCATTTGTAATTTCAGGTACAGAGAGCTGCTCATGGTATGCTTTCTCAGCAGAAATAACAGGTGCATAAGAGGAGAGCATAAAATGAATTCTAGGATAAGGTACTAGATTGGTCTGGAACTCAGTAACATCTACGTTGATAGCTCCATCAAATCTCAGAGAAGTGGTTAAAGAGGATATGATTTGAGATATCAACCGGTTCAAGTTGGTATAGGTTGGCCTTTCAATATCTAAAGATCTCCTGCAGATATCATAAATGGCTTCATTGTCTAAAAGAACTGCAACATCTGTGTGTTCCAACAACGAATGGGTGGAAAGCACACTGTTATATGGCTCCACAACTGCTGTAGAGACCTACAATAAGAAATATCATCAGGTAAGTCTAATTTATGAGACAAACAGAAGGACAAGGTGCATGCAGTTGCTGCCTTGCAGACCCCACCTATCAAACAACAAACACCCACATATAATTTGATGTAAGCCCCTTGAAGATAAGGTGCATTATTGCAGATGGGCACATGCCAATGGGGACCATTTGTTCACAGGTATCATATTGTTCTTATTCAATGGTCAATTTATTCCATTGTCGTCATAAGAATTTTGATTTTAACAGAACTTATAGAGCCTAAGCTGTGGTAAAAGCTCTATTTAGTGTGCTTCTAATAACCAGTTAAACTTATAGCATCATCTTTTCAGACTGCTATAAGTTGTGATTTATAACCTCAGATTTGTACATCTTAAAATGCATCATTTCGATTATAGTAAAATTTGGCAAATTTTTCCAAAACATATCTTCCATATTGCAGAAATGACTAAGTACTAAGTGTGTCCAATATTGTGCTTTTTAGAATAGGTCGACCACATGAAAAGAAACATGCACATACATGCCTTAACAGCCAAAACTTGAAGCATCTCAAAGATCCACGACAGATAAAAAGCATCAAATCGAACATACAAGTTCCATCAAGTAGTTCAGCATGAAATGAAAGCGAACTGCACTTTGCACAACATATTGGTACCTGAGGTGAAGGATATATGGTGAACCCTAGCTTTGACTTCTTTCCATAATCCACAGACAACCGTTCTAGCAGCAAGGAACCCAAACCAGATCCAGTTCCACCACCAACAGCACTGAAAACCAAAAACCCTTGCAAGCCAGTGCAGTTGTCTGCCAGTTTCCTAACCCGATCAAGGCAGAGATCAACAATTTCCTTCCCGACTGCCGTTCATGAACACAGATCAAAGATTAGTGTGCAAACTTGGTACCAGAACCAGAACAAGACAATCTACCATGAGAAAAGAAAAGTGCTGCTACCTGTATAGTGCCCCCGAGCAAAGTTATTCGCGGCATCCTCCTTCCCAGAGATGAGCTGCTCTGGGTGGAAGAGCTGGCGATAAGTCCCAGTTCTCACTTCATCTATGACGGTGGGCTCCAGATCCACAAAGATGGCTCTTGGGACATGCTTGCCGGCACTGGTCTCACTGAAGAAGGTATTGAAAGCATCTTGTGCAACTCCTACCGAAGTATCACTACGAGAAGTAGAAGTACATATCAGCAGACCCAAACAGATCATGGATCATAACAAGGATCTACGGTTTTGATAGATTGATGAGGCAAAAAATCAATTCCCATTGATTCAATTATGGAAATATATATGTACTCGAAAAAGGACATCGATTAACTCATTAGATCTTGAAGAATACAAGTACTAGTTCACCAAATATCATGAAAGCTACGCATTGGAAAAGAAGGTAGACCATCGATGAGAACAAGCAACAGCAGTTATTGGAGATTCATATGGAGAAATAAATGCCCTCCGCTACAATTATAGAAAGAGTACTATAAGCGGCCACAACTTTACTCCTCAGCACTACAATATTTAGTCTCATCAAGTGTCATAAAAGCTGCAGACTACCTCGAAACTCATGATCTCTGAACTGCGCACTTACTATGTCCAGATCTAAACTCTGAAAAAAAGAGATTATTGACCATTGCTCTCGATATCATCTTCTCTTAAAAAAAGATGCATCGATCCAGTTCTGGGATCAGAGTTCCTTTTTTTCTTATGAAAGAAAATAACATTAATTGCAAAACATAAAAAGGAACGATCTTTGGCTTAGAGTTCATTCTTCCTGTTCTCCTGTTGACGTGAAAGAATCTCCAAACAGTCAACACGATCCAAACGACCAGTGACCTTATACTAGAGAGCGGCTTGAGGTCATCTACGAAGTAGAGAAACAAAAATCGATTCTTCCCCAAACAAATGGTAGCGAGCAGAAACAAATATTACTATCAAAAGGGGAAATTTTTAGGAGAGCAAAGGTGAAGTAAACAAGTACCCAGCAAACGATGAAACAAAAAAGGTAGAACTTTTCGATGTTATCAACGAAAATAAGAAACAAAAATTAGCAACAAAAGAGGAACTCCAGAAGAGGGTCGAAGAGGGAGAATCGATGTGAAACCGAAGCGAGAGACAGACCTAGGCATGATGCCATCGGGCTGGATGCCGTGCTCGAGGCAGTAGAGCTCCCAGCAGGCGTTGCCCACCTGGATGCCGGCCTGCCCGATGTGGATGCTTATGATCTCCCTCATCTTCCCCTCTCTATCCCCTCCTCCTTTTGAGATCTCCCTCTCTTTCAATTCGCTGGCTTACGATGGCCGAGCTTTCCTTGCATCGGCGGAGGAGGAGACCTCGGATTAAAAGGAAAGGAGTCGATCAGGTCGGCGAGCCCCTTCAAGACCACGACTTTCGTAACGACGTACGTCGCTACAGCAGCTCACGCATCACTCTCGCCTGCTTCGTGTACGTCGCCACTTGAGCCGTGCCTTTAAAGGTTGTGACGCGAGGCAAGCGGGCCCCGCCGTTTCGACGTCTGTCCTACTGGAGTCAGTTCAGGGCACGTTTTTTCTTTCTAGTCCTTGCAAGTTTTGAATTTTATATTAAAGTACCATTGTTCACTCTTTCGGAAAAATTACATATACATTCTAATAAATAAATGATTTGCTCATATATCCACTTAAATTACATATTAAAGTACCAGTGATTAATTTGTGAATAACAAAAATATATATTCTATATTAAAATATTTATGGGCAAATATGCTATTTTTAGATATTTCTTATTGTTTTAAGCACAGTACAAACAGATCCAGAATTGTTTCTTCCACGTAATTCCAGATGATTAGAGGGGGCAGAACGCAAGAAGCGACTGTTTGCTACGCTGGCTTCGTAAGCCATGTGGAGGTGGGACCCAATCTGAGCTGTGATGTTGCTCTCCAGCCTTTTAAAGATCCCCGCCCCACTCCTCCATCATTGCAGATCCACCGTACGGTAGCAAGTGACGTCTACCTGTCATGATCGCCGCGCCCGGTAGTTTCCCCCGGTCGCCCACAATCCATCTGAGCCGTCCGTCTCCGAATATTATAAACTAATTATTATAAATCTCATCCTCCTAAATAATTATCCAAATATATGAGAAATCCAAACCGAACCCAATTAATTGTCACGTATCCAACCAAATACTCGACTCTGAACCCGGTTCAAATGCATCATACAGACCTAAATGTCAGCTTTTGCTTTTGCTCGACCATCGGTCAACCACACTACAGTAAATAAACTTGTAACACCTTGTTCTATTGAAAGTGGACAAGATTAAGATTAACTTATAAGGGTCTAATGAGTGTACTACTATTAACTTCAGCTTAAATATTTTGGTCAATGATTTAGATCAAACGAAGTTGATAGACTAGTTAACCCATCAACTCGGATCATAATAAAACTCGTTAAAGAACTAACAATTTCTGTAGTTTCTAATAATTACTCTGCTCGATCTTTGCTTTTGGATACTGTTCATCCTACTGTCGTGTCCTTCGTAATAATAAGATTGATGAAAGCATTTTACACGACATTATCCAGAATTTCTGGTGCAATATCTTGTCAAGAATGATGGCAACAACAACTGCAGGTTCCCAACAATTTCTTGTCATGAACGACTCCTATCTATTGACAATGAATAATTATAGATGCTATAATTGCTTGACTGATATTTGATGCATATGGCTTCCAGTAACAAAATCTTCTTTAGTGTTTCTTTAATGTCGATCATACTTCCCGAGAGTCATGTAGTTCATCGTACTCTCGTCATCTTACTTTCTCTCTAGATAATATCAGCAAATCATGGCTCACTGTGGCTGCACTGTTAGCAAAAGTGCAGTGTCGCAGTATATGTTTCATGTCTGATACCTTTTAATCATGAGTTCCCAGTTGTTGCTTAGACTTCACTTCTCATCCTAAATATCTTGCTGAAACATCTTCGGAGATCATGTTCTTCATAATCTCAAGGAATATTCATTTGTTTATGCGATTGGTGGGATCATCTCATGATCGAGAACCCATGTGACACTTCTCCGACTTCCACCAATGGATTCTTTGTCTCCATTCACCAAATGGTTTCAGCAAGCTCGAAGAAAGTGCAATGCCTTCAAGAACTGTTTCTTGTTGCAGACCTGCAACGCTAAGTTCTTTGCAGATACTCTTTTTCTTATCTCCGTAAAGCTCACAAACCTCATTTAGAATTGCAGACAAGTTTATCCACTTAATGTTGCTTAAAATTCTTCTGTTAATTGGTTCCTTTCTCTTGAATGACAGGCATTATGTTGGCTATGACACCCATCTTGCACTTCTCAGTTTCACAATGAATATTGACCTGCACTTTTCTGAGATTCTTCAGATCTCAGTTTCCAGCAAGAACATGCATCAAAACAAAGTATTTGCAGATATATGATGAGTGTTGGTATGACACAATCTGTTTATTTTCTCCAATAAAAATGAATCACATCATAATAGACACCATGGAAGTGATAAAGATCTACAGCCATACATGAAGAACACTCTCTCCCCCCACCTCCATCATACATATACACAAACAGATACACACACATCAGTCAAATCCACCCATGGCAATAGAAGAACGAAAGGAGAAGAAAATGCTACGACAGAGAGGACAGGTAAACATGTCCCTCAGCAGAAGAGAGAGCCGAAGGCGAGGGCGAGCAAAGAAGCAGCAGCTAAGGCAGTGGCGGACGAGGCTGAGGCTCCGGAGGTGGGGCTGGGAGCAGGAGCTTCGGCGGCGGCGGCCTTCTCGACCACGGAAGAGGCCATCGCGATGGTGATCACGGCGATGAAGAAGAGCCTGAGCTTGAGGGATGCCTCCATTGCTACAATGAGATGGAGGAGTAGGAGGAGGGAAGTACAGAGAGGATGGGAGTGCAAGTAGTGTTGTGGGAGGAGGAGGGATTTATAAGGGGATGGCTAAGTAGAGTTTTGGAGAGTACAGGCTGGCTTCACTTGTGCCTTCTGCTTTTGCCATGGACTTGGTTGGTTGACAGGTCTAATTATAAGCAAGCTAGGGTTTTTTTCCTTGGCTTGTGGAGGAGGATGATGATGATGATGTGTGTTCACAGGTTGGTGCAACAGTTGCATGGGCCATGTTCTAGCTGTCCCTCATCTACCAGGAGAAGCATCCACCAATGTTGCATATGTTAGAACAAAAAATTCAATTAAACCAATATTTTGATGAAAAAATCATAATAAAATTACTTTAAAAATGGAAAAGAAAAAAAAAAGGAAAAAAAGATCCACTCCCAGAGGATATAGAGGGAGAAAGAAATTAGGAAAATTATGAGCTTTTGCTCTCTCATATTCCAACATGACATTTGCTTCATCTGTTTTGCATTCTTCAAAGAATGCCATGAGATTTTGCAGCAAGACTTTGCCAATGGAACACAGCTCTTTCTGGTCTACCTTCGAGTATCTTGTTGGAAACAATTCACTGAAAAGCCTTTTGGCCTCCTTTTCTGATACATGATATTTGTGCTTGTTAATCTGCCATGTGAAAATGGCTAAAAGAAACATTGAAGTCTTGTGGGATTTATGGTTCCATCTCAAGTGTTGTGCTGACATAAATCATTACCATTTCTATATGAAGTCTTTATTCATATCCCCAAGAAGGCAGAAACACTTTCAAAGATGCTAGTAATATGATCAAAAACCAGCTATTCATGAAGTGTGACAAAAGAAGTAGTAGGTTTTTGTCTATTCTTGAACTATTGTGGTTGAGCCTTCAGCTTCCTTAGCTTATTTTCTAGTTGTCCTTTAGATACCATCTCATAAAGAGGAATAGTAGGAAGTCTTCTGGTTGAGCATTCATTTCAAATGTTGTTTCTTATTGTAAATTGTTGTTATAAGAAGAAGGTTATGAAAGATAAAACATTCATTTAGCAGGCTGGATTTTCTTTTTTTGCTCAACTTGTTTAAGCAGGATTAGGGTACCAATTAATCATATTTGGAATTGATATAAATAGGAAAAGATATGCATTTGAGTAAAGTTTGAGATGACTTCCATCTCTTCTACAAAGTTGATTGCATGTGAAGGGGTAGTAAGTCTGCATATAAGAGGCTTCTCTTATCTCAAACTTAGAGGTTTCATAGAAGATAGATTCATAGAGATCCAACAGTTGTGTCGTCAGTATTTTTCTGCTCAACTACTAGTGCTGTGATTCATGTGCAGTTGCATGTGGCAGAAGTTTTAGGAAGTTGACAGTAACATTCTCAAAGGTAAACAGCTCAGCAATGGCACTTTTGTAAAGGTGAGGGGAAATCAATAGCTTTAATCAGCTCATCCATGAATATGAAGACACTGGATTCACTGTTCCCATGCTGTGTGAGAGCTTTAGCTCAATCAATCATCCACATGTGGTGATGGCAAGCAGAAGAACATCATCATTGTTTGTTAACTTTCTGTCCTGTTGCTGTGCCACATGGAGCACATTGATTGATTCTGAGTGTCACTACCTTCTCCCAGTTTTGTAAAGATTCATTCCTATCAAACCATTCTATATAATTGACTCCAAACTTGGGAGTTCAAGAACATATTTCTTTCATTCATCTAGGATTTGTCTCAATTTTTCTTGTAGTTACCTATCCAATGTTTGACCTTTACCATCTCTGAACATAGGGTATCAGAATGAGAACAAGAATTTAAATCAAAGAAAATTCTACATAAATCCTTCAGAGTGTGTTGCATGACATCAAAAAGAAGTGGCAATTCTAATCTACATATTTTTTTCTTGTCTTTCTGTCCATGGAATAGGTTCATGAATCTAACATGAATGTAAGAACAAAAAGTGTGCTGAAGGACAAAGCAGAGATGAAGGAAGCCACTAGTGTGACTTCTCAAGCACAAACATCCCCTCTCAAGGTTCTTTATTCCCTGTGCACCTTTTACAACTATTCACCACCAATCTCAATCTTAATCATGTCCCATGCTTATTGTTTGGCAGTAGCCAAAAAAAAAAAAAAAAAAATAACTGATGTGCTTTAACCAAGCAGACACAAAATCTCATTCACTGTCATGATAAAACAGAACAAAGGACTCCAAAGTTACAAAGACACCAAATGGCTGGAACAAGACAACCACAAGCTTGATTCTCTTACAGAAGCTTCAGCTTTATCCCTCCATGCTCTTCTATGGAGAGATTATATGGTCAAAGTGACACAGGGAACTAAAACCACTCATTAAGAGAGCCCTACCAGTTAAAAAGGATGATTATATGATGCCAAAGTATACAAAGAAGTGAGGAGTTTGAGTTTCTATGGACAATTAGAGTTTCTACCAGGACCGCCATAGTAGAAGAAGTGCCCCCAGTGATTACTATTGCCTGTCTGCACATCATAGCAGTTGGATTGCTCAGTGAAGGTGCCAACTCCTCTAGGTGCCTTCAAATTGTTGGATTCATCAACTATCTGTATGTTTCTGAAGTAGCTTGATCTGCCGAATCCTTCTTCAGGGAAATGGCCACTGCCCATCTCGGTCGAGGTGTGCTCACCATCTGGTTCTGAGTTCACAACTTCCCCTCCCCATTCCACCATGGAAGCACTGTCCGCCAAGTAAGAGAAAAGGAAAGAAGGCCAGTAACCTAGCACATAGTCGTTCCCAAACTGCATCCACCAATGCCCTTCCTTTGGATCCTGATCAAGTAATTCGATCCTTCTTATTACCAATGGTGCGTGCATACCGATCAACTAAGAAGTATAAACAAGATAACTGCAATATTTCACAGCTGCCAACAAGTTTTAGGATTGTTTTCACCTTCCAAACAAGTATACTGATATCATATTGGGAACCACCATATCGAGAGAGTGGATAGATTGCCGCACCCATTGCAATCTCACTGTTGATTTGAATGAATCCAGAGCAGAGTAGGTTGTAGCAGCCTGTTGCTTGATAGGAGTCACTCTAAAATTACACAAGAAAAATGTTAGGATTGATCCAACTGTCTAGTTTGGTTGATTGTATAAACACCAATCTTCCTTTCTACATATTTAGTAAAATGCGAAGAAAGAACTATGAAATAGAACAGAGAGGGATGGAGAGGGAGTCAAAGGATCATGTTAACTCACAGTCCAGTAAGTAAAGAGTCTTGTGTTGTTATCCCCATACAGATCTGGGCTGACCTGATTATTTTTCATACCAACAGAAATTAATGTTTGAACATAATTCTTTTTCAATTCTACAAAATCAAAATTACTAGATTTTTGTTGCAAGTACAACAAAAGCAACCTGCCAACCAGCTTCAATGCTGTTGAGGTCCTCCCCAAAGGAGCCCCCCAGAATCCAGAGCTGAGACAGACTGAACTCATTAGACTGCTGAATCCTTGGCTCCCACACATTTATGGTGGCCTTGGCTCCATAATATGTATCCCCCTCTACATAAGCAATTGCATGCTACTCAAAAAGACCCAAGAACAGAGCAAATGAGAAAGGGAGTGTGAAAGATATGTAGTAGTAGTAGTAGTAGCAGAAACGTTGTCATTCAAAGCCACTTTTGATTATTATCTTTTGTCCTTTGTCTGTACCTGATGGCCACTCTCATTGAGAAGGTCAGGATCAATGGACAATGGGTTTGGGATGCTCCTGTGCTTCTTCTTACCATACCTTTTGACAGAGCTGGCCCTCAGCACATCATCCCTCTTTGTCCTCCTGATGGGGATGGTGTCCTCAGGGCACCTCCCATTTTGATGCCAGAGCTGAGCCATTGAAGGCGTCTTCTTCTGTGATGCAACCTTGCTCTCATCAAACAGTAGGCCTTCTGGGTGGAAAGCTGGCCTCATCTGAAAAGTTCGGCATCAAAAGCATCAGCAAGGAAGAGAAACCACCAACCATGAAAAGAAGAGAAAGTGAGGAGAGAGAGGGGAAGTGGACCTGGATAGTGTGGTTCTTGAGGAAAGGGTGATCAAAGGCTGGCTGGTGGGAGATGTGCACACAGTCTATGATATCTCCATCCGGGCTCTGCATTACTTCAAACAATTAGTTTTATCCAGAAACAGGGATGGGCAGAAAGTGGAGCATCATCAACGATTCATCTTACTGTTTAAGAAACGAAGTTATCGTAAGAACAAGAAGCAGAAATTTGTGTGAGAATTACTTGTAAGACCAACACGAATTAACTCGAATCAAAGTATAGAACACCCAAGAACGAGCTCCGTTGAGCAACTTCATTCTCGAGGAAGACCTTGATGTCAAAAGAGAGTAAAAGAAGAAGGGGCGAAAAAGCTCAAGAAAGAAGAGAGAAAGGAGCGACCTTTATGCTCTTGACAGCCTGCTTGTTGAGCCTCTTGAGGTGCCGCTGCACCTCCAACCTCTGCCTCGTCGCCGGTGCCCGCCGCACGCTCCCGGCACCGGCGCACGAGAAGCAGGTCGCCGCCGCCGCCACCAGTAGCCACACCATCACGTGCCTCGCGCTAACGCGTGCCGCCATCCTCCTCCTTGCTCCCCTTCTCGCTCGCTCGCTCTCCAGAGCAACTGCTATTTCCACAGTTCAGTTCCTCTTCCTCTTGATTCTTCCACCCTCGCCGCCATTTTGGCCGCAACGTAAATCCTCTTTTCACCCTTCCTGATCCTCAAGAACCCCAAACACGCACAGACACACACACACACACTCTCTCTCTCTCTCTCTCTCTCTCTCTCTCTCTAGTCTTTTCTCGGTGCCTCTGACATGATGTATCTATCCGTTGGACTGTGAAAAATGGGAAGGAAGGCAGGTGCGTAGTCTAAAAAGTACTCTCTCGCTCTATCTCGCTCCGTGAACCCACGCAGCGATTGACCATAAAAGATGCGAATGTCTCACCCCCACCCCCTCCCTCACTCTCTCGCTTCCCTGTGTGGTACTACTACTGCTAAACGACGTAATGATATTATGATATAGAATGCATTGATATAGCAGTCACTGTCATCTTCCTCCTCCCAGTTGTGGGGTCGAAGCAGCTGATGTCTCTTATCTCTCTCACACTCTGCTTCGCTTTTCCCCTCCCAAGCAGACCTTTTTACTGTTCCCGAAGCACTTGCTTCTTCTCCCCTCCTTTAACACCTCGTCTCCCACGCACCACCCATGGTTGGTACCCGGCAGCTGCGACCACCGCACATCTCACGTGCGTCCACGGTGGTGCAACAAGACCCGCCAGTCCTCCGTGCACCGAGGCGGAGCGTTCTGGTGGAGATCAATTGGCGTTTCCCCTCGTATATTAATTGCATGGTTGTGCGGAACCTGACACGCACAACTATTGATGCAGCTGGTGACCAGACTTCCAAGAAATAAAGAACACAACTTTGACTCCTGTTGGGATGGACTGATCTAACCGATGACCAGTAAACACAACGTGATGGTGGTGGTGGTGAAAGCTGAAGAGAAGAGGATCTTCTAAACATCATGTTTTGATGCTATTGTTCCTTCTGCTGCTACATGTGTGTTCTTTGAATAATGATGTAAGAACAGAGCATGTCATTTGTGGAACTAAATAATAGAGAGTTCTGACCGAGGAAGCAGAGATGAACACTATAAAATCTTACACATGGTTCCTCTGCAGCCAGTGTGGTATGTCTGCACCATTCATGGCTGTTCTGGAGGTGCTTTGACCATGAGATGCCAGTAGCAATGGCTCTGCATCATTGATGTAGATTTCGCCTTCTCCATGATTTGTCTTCAAGCATGAACTGCCACACAAATTAATAATAGCATTGCATGTTATCCTGGAACCAGAATATTCAGAGTTTCTTCCAATATTTCCAGTTTTTGTTTTCTGAAGCATGAGCTGCAACATGGATCAATGATAGCATGCATGCTGTACTGAAACCAAGAAAAATAAAAGAGAATCTTAGAGGAAAAAAAGAAGCTGGAGAAAGATTGCAAATTTTCATAAGACAGGCAGAATATGCAGAAAATTTCAGTTTTTTTCCCACTATATTCATGGAAATCAATGGAATTATCCAAAAACCTGGAAAGTTGTTTACATTTTATAGCTTTCATAAAGGCATGCTCAATCTACTGAGTCCCAAGTTAAAACAGAAGAAAGAAAAAAGAAAGAACACCTCATGTCCACTGTCTTCTCCTTGCAACATAGTTGGGCCACTATCCATTTTTCTTGCTTTCCATTGAGCCACATAAAAGAATGAAGAATCTCAACTTTAGTCACCTGCAACCTTTCTTTGCCCTTTCCATTTTATCTAAAGATATGCTTCATAGATGATGCTTTCTTTTAGCTACAAGCCACTCAAGCTTGGGCACTAACAATCCCCCACCTATATTCTATTGCAATGGATAGCTGGGGAAGTTTTGAAAGGAACTGAGAAATCTCATCACATTTCAGCCATTCTTAAAGCCATAGTCCCTGTTCTCTTTCTCCTTTACTTTTCATAGTGCATTCTAACACATCCACTCCTGATATAAAGGCCAGTCTTCAGCCCACTTAATTTCCCTTCATGTACATTAACAGCTGCAAGCACACATGGTTGTGCTTGTAGATAACCAGTCACAAAATGACACTAAAATCCCAAAAAATTATGCATGTTATATATGGTGAAATTGTTTAATAATACCCTCTTCTGAATCATATGGAACAAACTTTACAATTGTCCTCATTGCACAATGGAAAGCATCTTCTTGGCCACAGAAAGGTCACCAGTTGGGGGGACCTTCCTTAAAGCTCTCTGTATTTGAATGGGTGGGTTGCCTCTGGGCCAGCCTGGGGAGAGAAATTTTAGTTGATGGGACAAACACGTCTTCTTCTTGTGTATCCATTACACTCCAAATCAAAGGCTTGGCTTTTCTCATGGGAATCAGGAATCAGCATACTTTCAAGGCCAAAAGCAGCTTAAAATTAAAGTTCATGTGTGGTTGAACAAAGTTGTAGATCAGCAACTGATCCTTCTTCCACTTTGAATTGGACAAGTGAGAAAGTTCCCTATGTAAAGAAAGATAAAAAGATACCCACCTAAAGAATTCAATGAAGAAAAGTGCAATCTCTTGCCTTTTTGGAAGGCAATGCATGCTAATTCAATGTGAAGAACTTTAAATATGCTTTTACAAGCACTTATAAGCTATCAAAAGGAAGCTAAAACATTTTATTTTCCATATCCACTTTGAAGTGGTGGCATTTAGTAGTGTTTCCTAGAAATGCAGTTCCACCAGGTACATTATGAATCCACCACAATTCTCTGTTTTCTTTGTCTATACAATTAAAATTGATTATCTGATAAATAGAAAACATAGTATGTCCTTGATTCCCTATGTAAAGAAAGGAAAAGAGATGTCCATCTAAAGAATTCAATGAGGAAAGTGTGATATCATGCCCCTTTGGATGGCAATGCATGTTAATCCATGTGAAGAACTTTTACCATGTTTTTAACAGCATTTATAAGCCACCAAAAGGAAGGTAAAACATTTTTCTTTACCAAAGCACTTTGGAATGGTGCCATTTTGTAGTGTTTTATTGAAAAGCAGCTCCACCAGGAGCATGATGAACCCACAACAGTGTTCTTATTTTCTCTTTTTTTCCTTATATAATGAAAATTAATCGTTTGATGAATTGAAAAACAAACATGTTCTTGATTTTCCAGCATTATTACTAAGGTGTGCCCTTTATGAATGTTAACCATGATGATATTGGTGAACAAAATGTGCCTAGGCACATAATAAGATTCCTCTTGCATGAACTACATTCAAGAAGAATATTTTCTCAGGTTGCTGCATTTTGCTACAACCAATGTTAGCCAACATTACCAACATTTATTTTTTAATTTGATATTACGTCTGGATAAAAGTGCATTATGTATCTTATTCTAATTGCTCCAATTTTTTAACTTGACAGATTTTAATTTTGAGCATCAGAAGAGCATCTGTCGGAGTCATTCTCAACAATCCCTTTTTCCAAATTAATCAGTACTTGAAGATTTTCTTAGAAAATGATGTGTGTTTTGGGGAAAAGGTTTCAAGTCAGCCATACAATTCAACTGAGGAAAACCAAATCCAACCTCATCACTGCATGTACCATCATGCCATCAAAGGAAGCAACCAAAAGAACAAAAAGCAATTGCTGGTTTCCAGTTGATATCACACCAAGCATGAATGCAGATTTGGAGATGCAATGGATAACCAGTTTCATCTCAAAAAGGCTTCCTTTATATATATAAAAAATACAAACTCTTTTCAAAGCAGGTAATCCCTCTATAGGTTAGAATAATTTGTGTTTTATTTTTCTTCCCATACTATTTTTTATTTTCCTATTTTTATTTTGATTTTTGTTCAGTACTTTTAACATAAATTTTCAAATATAACAGAAAATGATTTGGGATATTAATTTAGAAATTAGAAAAATCATTTGTTGAGAAAGTCTTACTTCTAAGATCATGTTTTAACCATGAATCATATGTTTTTATTTTTTTTACTTTGACAACCTCTTTCAGAAAGCTTTACTTTTTTTTCTGTGTGTGCATGGCAAATACATACTGTATATTGCAATATAGATTTCAAATAAATTTAAACTTATTTAAGCTAGTGTTCCCCTGATCTTGAATTTGACAAGAACTCCAATAAAACCAGTTTCAGGTTTCCTCTCAGTTTATTCATGTAGCATTTCTGACAGTTTTCTTAATTCATACAGACTCATTAGCATAAATGCTTCAGCAATGAAGGAGATGATTTATATTTGACTCTCATTCTTGCAGTAGATTACTCATGAACTTTGGTTCAATGGACATCCTTACAGAAATACCATGATCACTAATTGGAATCCTGAACTCAATTCCATTATGAAAGCTCAATCAGTCACAAAGAACTTCTTCAAACATAATCCTACTATGCCACAAAGTAATTCTAAGAAATGGGAGTCAATAAGGACATCAATTCAGAAAGCATAGAAATAACAAAGTAGAATATTTACATTAACACTATATTATTGCAATATACAATTTACAACATACATATGGTAATTGAAAATTATTCCTTCATGTATAGTTATGTTCTTATGTGGCTATAATTTCAACCTTATATACATGATATCAACTTTCCGATATTTCCAAATAATCAATATTATGTTACTGATTAGCATGCTGTACTGCTTAGAGACTTGCAAGGTACCAAAAAAGTCAAAAACTAAAAAGAGAATAGAAAAGGACAATACTTTATTGACAGCAATTTAATCTATCTCCAATATGATGTGATCCAATAAGCATATGTGCTGTGACAGAACTGACAGATGAATACAGAGGCAACTATATAATTAGTGAAGGGATATTAAAACACATATGATAATATAAATTTGATCCCTCTTGTATACCTATGTTCTTATGAGAATGCAATCACAAATTTACATGCATGATATCAACTTTCTGATTTCCATGTTATACTACTGTTTAGAGGCTTGCATAGATACAAGACAAATCTATAACAAAGAGAAGAGAAAAGGATGGCACATTCAAGCTAATGTTTAGGCGATCAGGTGAGTAAATCCCCAAGTTGAATACTTATAA